TTGTCCATACCAAGTTATACCGGTAAAATCTGTGTAGGATTCAATTGAACGAACTACGCTCGACGNCTGAATGAGTGATAAGGGTTCATAGGCTCATTATGGAACTCATGCTTTTGTCCATTCCAAGTTATACCGGTAAAATCTGTGTAGGATTCAATTGAACGAACTACGCTCGACGATGTTGCTCGGCTAGTCGAGCGTTGACATTCGTTGGCTAAAGATGAACTTTGTTATTCATTGCATGATGAAGAACNCGATGTTGCTCGGCTAGTCGAGCGTTGACATTCGTTGGCTAAAGATGAACTTTGTTATTCATTGCATGATGAAGAACCTTGGGTGGTTTGACTGAATTGCCTATTCGATGTGCGCCTAGACATTGTTTGGGGTATGATATACACAATTAAGAAGAATAGTTTATATAGATACATAATGCAATTATAAACAAATTTGACAAGATGCGCACTACGTACAACTAACGTGACTTGATACTGATAAAACAATGATATGGCTTCACAGTGACAAAGTAAGGACATAATAATTCAATGACAAAACAACATACATGGCTTGACACTACACTAATTACACTGATAAAGCAAAGATATGACTTCACAGTGATAAAGTAATGACATAACAATTCAATTACAAAGGACTGACATGACTTGATATTATACTGGTTTTCTATCTCAGAAATAAAAAATGATTACCACTATTCAATATATCACATTGGAAAAAATAATTGCATACTTAGTATATTAANATGCGGTTTTACATTGAAAATGATAAATTTAAATTATGATTTTATAAATTAAACTAATAATAAATAAAAATAAATAATAAAGATAAAAAAAAAACAATCATAATACGGTTAAAAAACTCTTTCATTGTTATATAGGCGATTGTGCTTTTTGAACATTAACATTAAAGTAACATGAGACCGACATAAAGAAAGAAGTGGAAAAAATGGATCGCACCTTTTGCACATCAACCTGGGAGCTTCTATGTATTCCTTTTCTTAGATCGTCTCTTTTCCTCTTTTTTCATGACGAGTCCTTCCTCGTACTACAAAGTATGTATGCGAAAATGATAATGGTGTATAAGAGGAAAAAATGATGTCTAATTTATTTGTAATCTTTAAACTAATATTACAACCACAAAATTAAATTGTTCACTTATACAAGTGCAATTATGATCAAAATTGATTTAATTTTTATCAGTTTTAATTCAATGGTACAATTTTTTTTTCAACTTAAAAATATTTTTTCTCTACACAACCCCAATTTTTATATATATACAATATATATATGTAAATATAGTAATTATTATCCACCCTTGAAAACACTACCTATATAGCGATGGGCACTGAGTCCGACTTCGACTTCAACGTATACTGTCTCCGACTTCAACTCCAACTCCAACTCCAACTCCACTCCGATTCTAATTAGTGGAGTCAAATTGGAGATTCAAATTTGGGCCAATTTTTACTCTTTGTTGATATTTGAGGATTTAGGGTCCAAAATTTGAAAAATAAAATTGGGAATTTTGGTTCCATTTTTTGGCTAACAATCGTAGAAGAGAAGAATGAGAAAGAGAAAGAGAAAGGAGAGGGAAATATGTAGATAACGTGAACACAGAGAATGATACGACAGAGAGTGATATAGAAAAAGATTTACAAAAAAAGTTTCACAGTTCTCCTTTTTTCATTATTTATTGTCGAGTCCTCTATTTAAACTTTACCGTTCACGACAAATGCTTCGGCCGTTACGATTCTCCTTGTCCATACAATAAAAATGAAGAACAAGAGAGAGAGTTAGACTTGAGAGTTGAGAGTGAGAGAGAGAGAGATGTAGTGTATGGAGGCATTAGGCGTAAAAGGAGTTAAAATTTATATGTGAATATATATAAATTTTATAATAAAAATAAAATAAAATAATAAGTAACCGAAATCAGAGTTAGATATTTTTTGGAATAGATTTTGAACACTAACTCCGACTCCAATGAAGACAGAATTGGTCCAGAATCAAAATAGTACCGAATTTTTCAAATAATTGAACACCCCAATTTCCTTAAAACCCAACCCACACACGAAACTCCAAGGAACCAGACGCACCCGAAAGGTCGTCGTATGGTTTGGAAAAAGTAAGGTGCTTTTGACATATTTTGGAGTGGATTAGCCAATCATATTTGATGGGACATCCAAACCCTGACTCACACTAGCTGCCAAAGTGTCTTTTACTGTTGAAATGGATAAGAGTCTGTGAATCAACACACTTTCGGCCGACTTTAATTATGCCGTTTATAAAATTTGGAGATTCCTAGAATAATTAAAAAATGAATAAAAATGACATTAACAATTAAAAATAAATAAAAATTACATTTTAGTCTAACTTCGACAACACCCTTTTATTTAATTATTAAGTTTCATGTTAAAACTCAAATCTCGTATATATTTTTTAATAATTTAATTTAGATTAATCTCAATCTCAACTTGTGTCCTAAAAGATCATTCGAATTTCAATTTACATTCAAAGTTTAAAAATATTAATTTATACCCTAAAAGACTTAAATTTGTATTAATGTACTCCTAGAGTTAACGATTGTCTATTTTACTGTTAAAAAATTTAGGTTAATTATAAATTATACTCTCAAAATTTAAATATTTTATATTTATGATCCAAAAAAAATTACGTCTATTAATACTCGTTAAATAGATCTCAATTATGACGTGTCGTGTCTAACATTAAACAGAAAATATCTGTTTAATGAGTATTGTTGATAATAAAATAGGTATTTTAAATATTTTTTAAATAATATTTATATGAATTGTCATAAATGTGAAATATATGACATTATATAACTGACTAGACAAGAAAATATTTTTTGTGTCAAAAATAATTTTTATTGACTCAAACACAATACAAAAATAATACAACATGACACAATGATACGACACAAATGTTACGATACGACAAAATTGAGAGGTATTTAACGAATATTAATAGATAAAATTATTTTTGGATTATAAATATAAAATATTTAAATTTGAAAGTGCAATTTGCAATTAGCACGAATTTTTTTAACTGCAAAATAGATAGTAGTTAACCATCTATGTACATTAATATAAATCTATGTCTTTCAAAGTGAAAATTCATATTTTTAAACTTTAAAAGTACAAATTAAAATTTGAATTATCTTTGAGGTGCTATTTGAAATTAAGACATAATTGATTATCGAAAATCTTATAAAGGAACAAAGTGAGCATTATAACATCAAAGGTATGCAAGTGGTCCAAAGCATAATTTATCAGAATTCAACTGGTAGATTGACCGGATTAATGATTTATTGGTTTAATTGGTAGGTCAATTGATCAGACGGGTTAAATAATAAAAAAATTATAAAATATAATAATTTATCTAAAGAAATTTGAAAAATGATCATAATGCATACAATTTATCATGTCATAATCTCTGGTCAAGTCTAAAGTCATAGTTTTAATATTATCATCCCAATAAAATACACATCTTTCAAATATTATAATCTTTAATCTAACATAAAAACACATCCAACACAGAAGTCAATAAGATTTATAGATTAACTCCAAGACTTACAGTCGTGTATGTGAGAGAGAGAGAGAGAGAGAGAGAGGAGAGACCATAGGACTTACAGATTAACATAACTCCAGTAGAAAGAAAGAGAAGGAGAGATTGATAGGCGGAGTTCGATCGAGACTTCGAGTGGCTGTGCGTCTGGAGGAGAAGAGAAAACAGATGTCTGTGTCGATGATTTAGGGCTAAAATTGTCTCAAAAATAAGATTTTTTTTAAAAAAGTAACAATTGACCCACCCGATTTTAATAAATTATCTGCTTCATCGATTTTTGATTTTATGATTCATATTTGGTTGGACTGCACAAGCGGTTTGTTTAAATAATTGGATCGATTTAGGGCACAGTTCACAAATTCTACAGACCGATATAGTCCAGTGTTCACTAGTCCAAAGTGTTACAATTGAATTTTCATTTTCCCTATGCAACAAAAATAGCATGTTTAACACTCGGTGAATTCTTCATTTCTTCTTTTAATTTTTTGTCTATTCTCAAAAGTTATTATTTTGTTATTATAAATAATAAATACTACAATATGATCCTAAATGTAAATACTGAATTTTTTTTCATTTTTCTCTTAAACCACTTGTTCCAATAAACACAACTTTATTTAGCTCATTCGTTTTGATTTATTTTACGTTTGGTAGCTTAAATATGTCAAGAAATTGATCACCTATTGACTAATTTTCATGTTCCTTCTGATAGTTTAGTTGTGTAGAGCTAATCAAATATTAGCGACGTATTTGGTATTAAATACTCATAATATTAGAAAACAATTAGTATTTAAGCTACGTTGTTATTATTATAACATCCGGTTCTCAAAATCTCTATGATTGTCTTCAAAATAAATTGTTTGAAGGCAATTTTTAATTTTTGATATTAATTATTAAGAAAATAGTATGAAAAATATGATTATTATGTATTCCATTCCGTTTAATCAATAAACTCATATAATAAAAAAAAATTACATTTAAAAGTACAATTTAGAATTGATCACTGTACAATGTACCGCGGTCAAACTAGAGTATGAGAAAAAAAAAAAAAAGTGGAATAGTCCCGGTGTACTTCTTTTTTATTCAAACCCCCAAAGTTCCAATAAAAACAAAAACGTGTGTAATTGTCCTCCGATCCCACCAAATACAAAATCTTTCAAAACTCCCACAAACTTACAACTCTCTCTCTCTCTCTAGATTCCCGCACATTTACAACTCATCTCTCTTTCTCTCTCGATTTCCGCACAGTTACAACTACTCTCTCTCTCTTTCTAGCTGCATCTATATATATAGGTCATTCCAAAAACCTCCTTAAATCCCTCACCAAACCGGCAAACCTCAAGAAAACGATCAGAGAGAGAAACCAAGCAAACTTAAACTGATTTCAATAAAAGGGCTTCTTTTACGATGATGTTTCACGACGGGAATTACAACGATCGGTGGATGATCGGCAGTTCGACGCAATCCCAGCCATCCACGTGGACACGAGTAGAGGACAAGCTCTTTGAGCAGGCTCTGGTGATGTACCCAGAGGAAATCGCCGACCGGTGGCAAAAGATCGCGGAACGAGTTCCGGGAAAATCTGCCGAGGACGTGATGGCCCACTACGAGGCTTTGGTTCATGATGTTTTGGAGATTGACTCGGGCCGGATCGAGCTGCCGAGTTACTCGGACGATTGCTTTGAGTGGGAGACCGAGTCCGGCGCGAGTCAGATATCGTTTGGGTCGTCGGGAAAGGTGAAAGGGGAGGTGGAGAGGAAGAAAGGAACTCCTTGGACTGAAGAAGAGCACAGGTACTTGTATTTTATTTATATGAAATTTGTTTTTGAGAAACAGTTGTGCTTTCAGGAAGTGTTTTCTTTGTTTGGGTGTTTTTATGCTGCACACTTTTGAAGTTGGAGTTTTTTAGTTTCTTGGGTTAAAAATAGAAAATTTGCTGAAAGAAAAGAAAAACTAATGAAATATTGAGATTTTCTTAGATTTGCTTTTCTATTAGTATTATTATTATTGGCTAATTTGTTGAAATGGGTTGAAATTTGATTGGAAGGTATGTTATCTAGGATGTTTGGATTTTGGGTTATATTTATAGGCTTTTTTGTTGTTGAACTTTAATTTGGATAATGAATTCAACCGTTTGTTGTTGGCTCTAAAACTAATGAGAGAAATGTTTTTGGTTTTACATTATCCCTGTTTGGTTTATACTCTGTTTGGCTGTTGAGAAAACAGAGGAACTGGAAAGGGAAATGAAGCTCCGAGATTTGGCCTGTTGTTCTGGGGTTTTGAAGAGTTAATATCTTAACTGATATGATACACACTATGTGACATTTGATTTAAGATTTGGGTCTAAATAATGCAAAAGAAATTTCAGGGGTATGTTTAGTTCGAAGGCAAGGAAATTTTTGTTTAATGGGGACAAAGAAATTGCAAACAGAACTGAGATTTGGCTGTGGAGAAAACTGGGGAATTGTAAAAGGAAATGAAGGTCCGAGATTTGGGGTTTTGTTTACCTTAGCATGCCAAATAGAATTCAAGGGCATGCTTAGTTCCGCGTATAGGACTTTTTTTCGGTTTACTGGGGACTAACAAATTGAAAACAGAATTGAGATATTCCTCGTGGAAGGTTTGGAATCTAGTTTTGGAGTTTTGACCTCGAGTTAGGGGATCATTTTGCCGTAGCTTGCTCCTGAGAAACCTAATAGGCTAGGGCGGCTTTAGAACATGTTTAGCTTTTGCGAAAGAAACTCTTGCTATTTTGGTTTCAAGAGAGAAATGGGTTCCAGAAATGGCTCCACATGAACCAAACATGCCATTAAGCTCTTATATCCTCTCAGCAAACCAAACAGGGCAAATGAATTTAATGTTATTGTTATTTTCTTGAATTTATTTTGTTCGTGGATATGTGTTTCATGTTCATTGGTCAGCCTGGTTAACATCTTGTGTGTGTGTGTTTTTTTTTTATTTGAATGTCAGATTTAGAACTCTAAATGAATAAACAAATTTGAGAACTCTAGTTTTGCACACTCGTACTTATAGACTGAAACAATTTACTTCTATTAGTTATGTTAGGAGGCACTCTTTTTAGTAGGAATGGAATAAATTAACAACCTAATTGCCTAAGGTGAAGCTTATTTTCAAGATGTCCTTCAAATAAGCTGACAGCATGGTCTGATAGTCCGCTTCATAAATTATTAACAACAAACCTAGGTTGTGACCTTTAGTGCAGGGTATGATGTTTCATAGTGCCATTAATGGGTTTGAATTTATGGAGATGAACTTCTGCCAGCATAGCGGTAATATTATGTGTGATGCTACCCAGAATCATTAAATAGTTAAAAAAAAAAAAAATCATCGTTCTGTCTATTTTTAGCACAACATTTTCTTTGTACTACCAGGATGGTTGGAAAATCTAATATTATTCCCTAATGCTGGCATATGTTCCATTATGCCACTGCTATTTCTTGGGGTACAAACATACCTTAGTTTGAAACAGTTTGGTTATAATGTTTTCGTGATATTGACCTACTTTGATTTGGTCTTGTCACAGGTTGTTTCTAATTGGGCTCGACAGATATGGCAAGGGTGACTGGAGGAGCATATCAAGAAATGTGGTCGTAACAAGAACACCAACACAAGTAGCTAGCCATGCCCAAAAGTATTACCTTCGTCAAAACTCGGTGAAGAAAGAGAGGAAGAGGTCAAGCATCCATGACATCACCACCACAGTGGATAGCACGCCCGTACCTCCTCCAAGCAATTGCCCCAATCAAGAAGGGTCCCTAGGGTATCAGAACTTCGGCTTTCCTATGTAAAGATGAAGAAGATTAGAGCTTCATAGGCTGTACATATAAAAGGTTACTTACAGGTGGCAATCTCAGTTGTTAAGTTCTATTCTTTCTTAGCTGACAGTTATTTAGGATTAGCACGGGAATACGAGAATAGGGTGTGTGTGTGTGTGTTTATTTTTTTCGAGTCCTTTTGTGAACTTACTGGATGTATCTATAGAGGACATAGATTGGTCATATATACAGAGATTTTAGGTGTGAAAACAACAGCAAATGAAATTGACTGGTTTTTGGATTGTAGCCCTGAATTCTATTGAATGGCCTCTTGACTTCTTTATGCTGTCCGGTTATTGACAGGAGATGGTGTTATGTTGAGTTATTTACCAAATTGCCCTTTTTTTTAAACAATTTTATCAAGATACGGCAGTTTTAAAACAATTTTAACAGCGAAGTTAACAGATATGTTTTTACTAAAAAATTGAAGTTAGTAAATTCGTTTTTATACTTTACATGTAAACAATAAAAGAAAGCGTGGTTGAAGATTCCACGTTTAATGAAAAAGCGGATTCAATAAATTCATTTTTTCAATGAAAGCGTAATTATTGAATTTGCTTTTAAATTAAAAGCGACATCTTCATCCATGTTTTTAGAAAAATGAGTCTGCATAACAAATTTGTGTTGACCAGGAAAAATAGATTTATTGAATCCGTTTTTACATTAAAAGCGTATTTGACAAGTCCCCTTTTAATAAGACGGATTCAATTAACTTGTTTTTTGGCAGAAACAATATTTTTCAATTTTACTATTTCTATTTTTCAATTTTACTATTTCTATAGTCCGATGTCCTTTGGTGTTTTTTAAAAAGATTACACAAAAATAATAATATATCTACATTTTTATGGATGACACAAAATGAGGGGTACGTTTTTTTTGGCAACTGTTCAAAAAGTGAGTGGTAAATTTATTTGACAAAAAACTTCACAATCAGCTTAATTTATTATGTAAATAACAAAATAGTTAATATATTTATCTGAAATAGGAATATAAATGATCATGTTCATACAAAATGCAACACAAATACAACAATATATATTTTTTTTAATGAGAACCATATTCTAAATAACATAGTGGTTTGCCACGTGCGCATAGACTAGTAGGGAGAAATTTTTCATACTCATCATCAGGTGAATCATCAAAATCAGATAATTCATGGTCAGAAACTAGTAATGGATCGAAAAATATTGCATTAATAGCCTCGTTAGGATCTAAATGCTCTATCTTTGCCTTATTGATAAAGTGGAATCGATCTAGACGTCGTTATATTTGATCAATTTCACGTTCTAGTTTTGCTATGATATCATTATAGTTGTCTGTGCACCATTCCATGTACATTTCAGCTGAATGTGCCTGTGGTGCTCGTAATCCATGCCAACAATAGTATACTTCCACCTTGGTCCTCATAGGTGGTAATAGAACTCTAGAGGCGGAACAATTGTTGCAGGTTCAATAATCACATGGCTGACTTTTGTGAAAGAGTTATGAAAGTTGATTAGCTCATTATGAAAGTCACACAAGTTTTTATACCACGTTACACCACTGGAATCTGTGTAATTACCAGGTTCTAGTATACTGAATGATGACGTCCTTAGATCCTAGTATGTAGCATGATGTTGGCAATCATTGCTCAAGGAGAAACCATTGGTCATTCAGCCTGAAGACCCTGATGATGACCTTCTAGTCATTTCACTGTAGGAAAAATGCATATATATTTACCCAAAAGTAATGAATAGGCACATAATTGATCAATAATGCTCAATAATCGCTGGAAACACTGAGATGGATAGTCACTTAATACACTAAAAACACAAGATGACTAAACACTGAAACTGACAAGTGTAGTCAATTCAATAGGCAATATGGACACAATAGAATATGATTAAAGACTCACATGTTTAGTTTGTTCAATAGACTGTAATCACACATTAGGATATGATTAAAGACTGACAATGTCAAAATATGACATTGATAACATTGAAAAAAATTTATATGACATAGAAAAAATAATGCTATGACTAAACACAGACAACCCTAGTGGGAGTACTCACACATTGAGAGNCTACCAGGATGGTTGGAAAATCTAATATTATTCCCTAATGCTGGCATATGTTCCATTATGCCACTGCTATTTCTTGGGGTACAAACATACCTTAGTTTGAAACAGTTTGGTTATAATGTTTTCGTGATATTGACCTACTTTGATTTGGTCTTGTCACAGGTTGTTTCTAATTGGGCTCGATAGATATGGCAAGGGTGACTGGAGGAGCATATCAAGAAATGTGGTCGTAACAAGAACACCAACACAAGTAGCTAGCCATGCCCAAAAGTATTACCTTCGTCAAAACTNCACACAATCATCTTTTTAGTGTTCTTCCAAGGGCAATAACTCCAAGTTCTAAAAACTGAATTGATGTATACAATAACTCATCTCATGACTTGTACAATAAGCTAGCCAAACCGTGAGCATTATTGCATAACAATTTCATTATAAATTCATCATGTGTAAACGCCCTCATTGTATACTTACCAATTTCAACAATGAATTATAGTCCACGCTCCTTGTTTGAAAGTATGGGTTATCATTGGGCTTTAGAGGATGAGTTATTCTATCCTCTAAATCCACGTTTACGTTACTCATAGAGGTTCAAAAATAGAATGATAGAGCAAAGACAATATCGCTTGAATCAAAGGGAAGTTCTAAGTGAAGATTTGGGCATTTGCAATATATGCAGGCCTTGCCAAATTGCATTTAATATGCCTATTGACACTCCTCAACAATTGGAACGTGTATTGTTTAGTATTAGAGTTAAAAACAATCGTATGACAATACGTTCAAATTGATACAACCTTCGTTGCATTGCACACGACCGTGCTAAAGAAGGTTTGCCGGACGAAGGACGTTTATGCTTCCAACTGAGTGGGGGAAGCAATATGCGTTTTGATGTTGAAATGTCAAATGAAGAAGGTTCCCCATGATGTAACTTATAATTATGTTGTAGGTTATGGGTTTGTGAATCTATAACTATATTAATCTATCTATACTTTCATTTTCAAAAGTTGGAATTATGGGTTTATAGTCGTAGTCTGTGGGTTTTTATGTTTGTAGTATTGTGTGTCTATAGCTGTGGTAGTCAATTTGTATTTGCATTTTCAAATGTTGTAACGTGTGTGTTTATGCTCATAGTTGGTGGTTTTTTATGTTTATAGTAATATTACTTTCATTTTCAATTTAAATTACATGTATTGTGTATTGTTATATGTTAACATAAGTGGAGTTTCTTGCTTGGAGAACATAACAATCAAAAAAATATAGTAGACTAATTTGGAAAGAATGTAGTATGAAATGGAGGTATACACACTATAAATAATGTATATTTAAAAAAATTTGAGCAGAATTTCCCCTTAAAATTGAACCCCACCATTATTTTAACCTACATATACAATATTACCACTACCATATCATATACTACCACAACTACATCCATATTGGAACCATAAAAACAACTATAAGACCACACCCATACCCAAACCCAAACAAACTCACACCACAACCAAAAGCATAGACAAAACCTCCACACCACCACCACTAATACAATCAATATGCATACGTACTACTGTAGTTACCTAGAAAATGATAAAACTACTTTATTACATACAAATGAACATGTTCATAAACTGAAAAGACAAAAAACTATATGCCGCAAGTGGGCTTCTTCTGCAGCCATTGCAAACGACAGGCCTCTAACTCCTCCTCCTCCTCTTGAATGACTTGTGACACATCCTCTTCGACACCAAACTCTGTAGTCCTACCTCGAACTATGCCTCAACCTCCTCGACCTCTACAACCTCAAGCTCTACCATCTCGACCTCGAAAATGGGAAATAAGTTGGGCAAGTGGAGTCGTATCAACATTTGAATCACGCTCATGTGTGCATCCTTTACTGGTCGTGACAACTCTATATCATGCGAAGGCGATGACAAGCATGCATCCTCTGATGATAGTGACATCTATACATCATATGTAGTTGAGGTCGAGCGTACATCCCCTTTTGGTAGTGACGTCCCTACATCTTATGTAGTCAAGGTCGGGTGTGCATCTTTTGTTGGTAGTGACATCTCTACGTTATGTATAAGCGATGTCAGGTGAGCATCCTCATCCTCCAATATAGGTTGGCTGGGAGAACCATGTGTCTAATAGGGATCACCTATAGCTGGTGTATGCGGCGAACTCCTAGTGGATGGTGTCTGACAAGGTACACTCGGGGATGGTATATGCTGAGATTGGATAACAGATTATGACTCACGAGGTACAGAAGGGCCTGATGTGTGCGATGGTAAACCCGATTCCAATGTCTACACAGCTACAATCAAAGCTGGTGTTGTGTCGACATTATTATGTATTTGACTGGCTATGCAGGGATGATAAGGTGTCGATCATCGTATAACAACCCCATGAGGCCTCGCATGTGAAGGGTACGATCCATGAGGTACGTACTGTGGTATGGGTGCAGGCTATGATGCAAACATTGGTCCTCACAAATAGCCTAAAGGTAGGTGGAGCTAAGAGATTGTGCCTCACGCAGTGCCTGTGCAAGTCCTGTATCCATACCAACCTCAAGAGCATCATTTTTCATTTGGTGAATCTATACGAGGGTACTTTCCTGTAACAATCAAAATTATTTATTCACGTAAGTAATCATAAGTATTTGGAAGTATTTGTATTATACAGATATTACTGATCAATGAACACATATCTGAACTTACCAATATATCGACGATGCTATAACCATAGGTTGGAATCCGACATGGGGAGGCCTATCTAATGGAGGTCCAATAATTTTCCTAGTGATACACCTATACAAAACCATATACAGGTCACTAAAATCCTAGAGTCCTATATGTTCCTCTCCTGTAACAAAATTCTCCTAATGATACTCCCATATTTGTACAAATGACTGATGTGCACCTCT